TCTCTTCATTCTATTAAACTTTCCAAACGATGTGAACTAAGTTCCCTTTGATTTCTCTTATTACTAACTTCCCAAACAAGTTTTACATATTCCATAATTACCTTCTTTTTACTTAACTCATCCTATGTTCCCATAACTTCTCTTCACTGGGTGCAAAATTGCAAATCCAAACAAGCTCTTAGAGCAAGTCCAGCAAGCTCCCACCCCACCTCCTAAGGCTGAGGTGGCGGTGGGAGCTTGCTGGACTTGCTCCAGCAAGCTCCCAAGGGAGCTCTGAGAGCTTCCGTGGCACAAAACCTAGGGTTTTGTGCCACGGAGCTCCCAAGCGGCTCCACAAATTTGTGGAGCGCTTGGGAGCTCTCAAGCAATTAAAAAACATTTTTTTTTTACAAAAAACTCCTTGTTTTTTTATCTTTGCAATAGAAGAGAGGTTTTTTGATAGAAGAGAGGTTTTTTTGATAGGTTTTTTGATAGAAGAGGGGTTTTTGATATTGTTAGAGCTCCTAACTAGGAGCTTGTTGGAGCTCCATAAAATAAGGAGATGCTCCCAAGACTTATTTTTATAATTTTTTATACTAAAATGTTTAAGAGCTCTTGAGAGCTTGCTGACTAGGACTCCCAACTGGGAGCTTGCTGGACTTGCTCTTACTCAACTTTCAATCTCTACGTGCAAAGAATCAGAGGGCACATTATTTATCATTTTTAAGAATGAAGCGAGGTCCAAACTGGGGAAGGGAAAGGGACGGGAAGTTCAGTAACTTTTTTCTTTCCATCTTTCAGAGGTGTCCTCCGTCTGATTCATTGCCGTCCTCCAACTAAATTCTACAGATACTATTGGGTACGTTGTGATCTACGGAACGAAAACATTATAAAGTCTTCATAAGCCTTGACAACTTAATTTTGTGTAAAATCAACTCCCAAATATTTGCGTGGAAAAGCGAATTTTGCGAAGAACGAAGACGTTTGCACGTAGTATATTTAGGTCAAGCTCCCCATACCTGCAACAACAAAGACATTTTGCGTGGATATTGATCCTTTCATTTATGATCCTATTTACCTAAATTAGCCACCCTACAAGAAAATACGAAAAGAAGAGTCCATTTAATTGCTATTCACAGGAAAAATACGAAAGGAGTCGGAGAAAATTGGACCCTTCTTCGAGTGCAAAAGGGTCATAAATAAATAAATAAAATCATTCTGGGGTCTATCTGCAAAACTAGACGAGTAGTATGTTCAAGACGATAATAAGGCAAGGGTTTAACACTAAATTTTTCTTCATGCCCCCCCACCCTGATTTAAGCCTGAAATCTTTCTAGCTACTAAAATTTAAAATATATAGTTCTAAAGAGCAACATCAAAATCCTTTGAAAGTGGGCAATTCATTATAAATACAACCACACAAACTAGAAAAGTGTGATAGGCCATTAATTATGTGGATGTGGGTACCCAAATCTCTGGCGTAGAGAATTCTGATGCATGTGGAAATAAAGGAGGACATGGGCTGTGCAAAGACTCATCACTGCCCTGTTCGATCTTTACTGCAAGCGTGCTCTCACTTGGAACGTCCTCTCACCCATCAAATACACCACTGCTGTTGGCTTGCACTGCTCCTCTATTAATCAGAGAAAAACCCAAAAAAAAATTGTTCTAGTGTCAGACCATTCCATCTATTTCAACATGATCACTATATACATCTAATATGTGGTTGGTTTATAAAGAAACTAGATTTAATCCAACCATGATTTGTATTCTCCTCTCAACCAAAACGAAAGACGCCAAAGCTTCCAACGCTTAAAAACCAAGCTTCAGTTGATTTCCTCTCTTACTGTCGCCCTCCGATAAAGCATCGACATATACTGGTACAGATTATCATCCATTTGCAGCTTATTATCCTCGACCTCCAGACTCCTCAATTTCAGCGTTGTGTTGTATGTGTACTACTGATGCACGTACATGAAGTCATCAGAACGTAAGCACATCTGAAGTGCTCGAGAGTTTACAAGAAGAGTGCTCGATCGAGAGGTTGTTGGAGAGAGACTCATAAATTTTTCCACCTAAATTTTTTTCGCTTTTAATATCCAACACAGGAGATCTCAGGTTGTTGAAGAGAGACTAATAAATTTTCTACCTACATTTTCGCTTTACGGACTATGTTTAATGGAGAGTTCATAAATATACAAGGTTTCTCAAGGAGCTAGAAAGAGTTTGATACGTTGGAGGGATGAGATAAGTCAAACCAGCTCATCATCCTAACCATGCGTTAAACCTTCAGCGTGGAAAATCAAATAATTTCAGGTCTTCGCTTGAATGTAAAGGACTTTTTTTAACGCAAAGCTAAAGACAATGATTCATTCAATAAACCAAATTAATTGAGAAAGAGATGAGACGCATCAAAATGCTGAAACCCTGGGCATCAGCTAACCCTGCAATCGTGAACCCCCACCACAGATTGTCATTATTGAATATACTGAAAAAGAAACAGAGAGAGATGAGAGAGAGAGAGAGAGAGAGAGAGAGAGAGCATTTATTTGGGATGCTTGGGTTTCTTCTACCATCAGCACCATTACTTTTCACCATTATAACACTGGCAGGTGGAGGAGCCTCAGAAAGCATCCACCAGGCGTTCTGACCTTGGAAGCTCATTTCACCAACCATTTATTTCTTTGAGTGAAAGCAAGCACCATCTGTTGATGGCTCAAAAGTTTGAATCAGCCGTAGGCATCAGGAAAATAAATGCGCCCATCTACCACCAGGCAAGTTCACCCCCCACCCCCCTTGATCTCATTAAGAGGATATTGGTTGAAAATATAACAAATAGAAGTGGGGGAATTTTTTTTTATAGAAGCCCTGTGTGTAGGCAATCATATTAAGAAGATAGGAGAGCGATGATGCACATATCACTATTAGCTATTAGTCTAGTCAAACTTAGTCTAGTCAAACTGCCCATCAATACGGTTATAATTAGCACGATATGCGTTGATAACTTACGGTAACGCGCGAGCATCAAGACTTATGCCAGACCAAATGTCTTTACCCTCTGTCTCCTTCGCCGTATGATTTTCTTTTAGAGGGCGGATTTCTTTTTTCCAAGAACAAACTGATATTAAGGTGTATTAAAGAGGAAAATAACATCACTTTAAAGGCGTCAACTATCTCATGCGAAAGAGAGCACAGTGCAAATATATGCATGCATAGGTTTCATGTAATGGCATTACAAAGCAAGGGGAACAAAGCAAAACCTCTGATCACAAAAAGGATCGGTTAACTAGGTAACAGTATTCATAATCTATTCTATTCTGGAGCTCCAAAGGCTAGTCATTGGTATGGAAGTATAACAATACCAATCACTATACAGATCAATCCTCTGAAATGTATAAAGGTACAAGAACATAACAGCTGTCTTGAATCATCAGCCTCTTTAACTCCACAAAATACACCTGATGAAGATGACTTCACTCCCTGCATAAAACAAACAAACCGAGTTAATGGGGCTGGAGTAGGATGGTACATGCATATGTGGTCCATAAACAGTCAAAAACATTTCTTTTTTTTTTTTTTGCACAGTACAAAAATAAAACCAAACTATGTCAGTTCTTTGATTCAATAAAAATACTTTTTGAAATGCTGTATGCTTAGTACTAATCCCTAAGATCATGATGGTCAAGATAAGTGCAGCTATAGTGGCACAATGAAGACATCAGCCATCAAGAGTCAAAAACTTCTAATAGTAGAAGGTAAACAAACTCTACCTACAATAGCCAACAGGTGCTCTAGCCAAAATCATGAAGCTGCTGGGTATACCAAAGTGAAACGAAATTCCCAAGACTACGAAAGCTTAGAAAATAGTACACATTTTGACAAATGAATTGTCACGCTTTTAGTTCAGATCCTTGAACAAGAACCCAAGAGTTTCCTTCTCCAGATAACTGTTCTTAAGTGTCTGTTTGCTTTCATGTGAAATGATCAGAAAAGGCATACAAAAACCTTTGTTTAGGAGAAATTGGAAACTTGTCCATATTGCAGTTAAGAAACAAACTTAAACCTTCTGCTGTGCTTGAGTGCTTCCCCAAACAGTAGAGCAAAAATATTAATTATTAGTTCAGAAACTGAATTGAATTAAGTACTTGCCCAGATTTAAGATGGCAAAATTTGAATCAACAGACTTTGTCCCTATTCACTGCTTACAGATGACAATGCATAAAGATATGCCGTTCTGCTATGTCGTGACTCACATGCTATTCAATTGGGTTGTACCTGTGTGAAAAGCACAATGATGCTATGTTTTCGTCCAAAAACTGTTTGCAAGTTGAATCTATATAGCAACTACAAATCCTTGAGTTTGAAATATTTTCCCACTTTACTATGTTGAATACATGTGATGTCTTACTTACCATGTCATAAATTTCAATATTTACACTGCAAAAACCTTACTTCTAAAGTAAAGAAATAAAGTATATGAAATTTATTTACCTACGCTTCATCCTTGTATCAACTATTTGGTAGAAAGAAAATCTCCCATGGCACGTTGTCAAGG